CTTCCTTCCTTCCTTCCTTCCTTCCTTCCTTCCTTCCTTCTTTTTCCTTTATAAAAGTACCGCAGTTTCAATTTGCATTTCGCTAGAGGTTGGTGAAGTTGAGTATCTGTTCATGTGCTTATTGACCATTTGTTTATTTTCTTTGGAGAAATCCTTTGCCCATTTTTAATCAGGTTATTTGGTTTTGTTGTTAAGTTGCAGGAGTTCTTTGTATATTCTGAATACTGACCCTTTATCAGATATATAATTTGCAAATATTTTCTCCATTGAGAGGGTTGGCATTCCATTTTATTGACTCTATCCTTCAATGCACAGAAGTTTTAAAGTTTGATGGGGTCCAATGAAGGTTTTTCTTTTGTTGCCTGTGCTTTTGGTATCATAGCCAAGAAATCATTACCAAATACAATGTCACGAGCTTTCCCCCTGTCTTTTCTCGGAGTTCTATGGTTTATAGCTCTTATAGTTACATTTATGGTACATTTTTGGTCAATTTTTGAGTACACTGTAAGGTCTGGATTCAGCTTCATTCATTTGCCTGTGGATATCCAGTTTTCCCAGTCCCATTTGTTGTAGACTGCCCGTTCTTCATGGAATGGTCTTGGCATTCTTGTTGAGAATGATGTGACCATCAGGGCATCTGGATGGCTCAGTCAGTTGGGTGTCTGACTTTTGATTTCAGCTCTGGTTATGATCTCATCGTTCATTAGATCGAGCCCCAAGTTGGGCTCTGTGCTGACAGCAAGGGGCCTGCTTGGGATTCTTTCTCTCTGCCCTTAACCCACTCACACTCATGTGCTCTCTCTCTCTCTCTCTCTGAAAATAAATAAACATTAAAAAAAAAAAAATAGAAAATCATTTGACCCCATATGCGAGATTTTATTTCTGGGCTCTCTCTTCCATTCCATTGGTCTGTAAGTCTGTCTTTATGCCGGAACCATACTATTTTGATTGCCATCGCTTTGTAATAAGTTTTAAAGTGTGAGCCCTCCAATTTTGTTCTTGTTTTGAAAAAGTTTTTTGAAGTTTATTTACTTGAGATGGAGAGAGAGAGAGAGCACGTGCATGTGCATGCGTGCACGCACAAGTGGAGGGGAGCAGAGAGGGAGAGGGGGAGAGAGAGAATCCCAAGCAGGCTTTGCATAGTCAGCTCAGAGCCTGACTCAAGGCTCAAACTCACGAACCATGAGGTCATAACTGAGTTGAAATCAAGGGTCAGATGCTTAACCGACTGAGCCGCCCAGGCGCCCCTCCTTCTTCTTTTTATAAAATTTTTTTTTTAACGTTTATTTATTTTTGGGACAGAGAGAGACAGAGCATGAACGGGGGAGGGGCAGAGAGAGAGGGAGACACAGAATCGGAAACAGGCTCCAGGCTCTGAGCCATCAGCCCAGAGCCCGACACGGGGCTCGAACTCATGGACCGCGGGATTGTGACCTGAGCTGAAGTTGGACGCCTAACCGACTGCGCCACCCAGGTGCCCCTCCTTCTTTTTAAAGACTGTTTTGTCCCTTGAGTTTTCATATGCATTGTAGCACGGATTTATCTATTTCTGCAGAAATTGTCATTGGAATATTGATAGTGATTGCACTGCCCTGGTAGATCACTTCGATTAGTACTGTCATATTAACAATATTAAGCTTTCCAATCCATGAACACTGGATACCTTTCTACTAATTTGTATCTTCTTTAGAAGATACTATCTTTCAGAGACATTTTGTGGTTTTCAGTGGACAACTCTCCTTGGCTAAGTTTATTCCTAAGCATTTTATATTATTTTATTTTTTGATACTACAGGAAATGGAATTGTTTTTTGAATTTCCTTTTTTAATGGTTCATTGTTAATATGTAAGAATGCCACTGATTTTTGTGTGTTGATTTTGCACCCTGCAACTTTGCTGAATTCATTTATTCTAATAATTGTGTGTGTGTGCGTGCGTGTGTGTAATCTTTAGGGTTTTCTGCATATAAGATTGTGTCATCTGCAGAGAGAGAGATCATTTTACTTTGTCCCTTCTAATTTGGATGCTTTTTACTTCTTTTCCTTATTTCTTCTTTAATTGCTTGACAAGAAAACAATTTCCAGCTGAAATTATATGAAAAAGTCCTTCATACTCCGAGGAAGTTTCTGGTCCGTGATGCAGCCTCCTGGGCTTTCACTGACTCCCTCCTTGATGTTCATGGTGTATTGGTTCCGTGGACTCCCGCCAAATTGTGCCATCACCTCCAAAGTGATTCTTTCTCCTGGACTTGATTCCCTGAAACTTCCATTCTCGGCAAGATATTAAGACCAATGCATGGGGTGGAACGCTTTGGCAGTAAGCAGTAAACTGTAGAGTGCCCACTTCTGCCCACCAAAGATTTTAGTGTTTTCAAGGAGGCATTCTGTTTGCCTAATAGGAGTTTCCCTAACAGATGGAGATTCAGACAATGTGCTACATCTTGGATGGTGTGGAAGTTTCCTGGTTGTCTTCCAGGGAAGGTTTGGCTTTAGTGTTCTCAGAAAAGCATTTTTATTCAGCTTCTTACTTCTTTAATCATCACTCCCTAGGAATATTCCCCCAGGGACATCTCCGGCAGATCCCCAAGGTTTAGAACTTGCTCTTGCTTTGTTCTTTGACGTATTCTCTGGATTGACGTGAAAGATTCTGCCATCTTTCTCCATGTTTGCTCCCTATCTTTGAGGTCCAACCTGGAGAAAGCCCCCTTCAGCTTTGGCCCCAGATCTGCCATTGGAACTGGAGTGGGCCCTCCCATGGAAATTTGGGAGCTCGTAGAAGGAGGGAGCTTGCTAATCAGTCTCAACTGACCCCCATCTTCACTTCTACCCGAATTCCATGCACATGTTTAGCCTTCAGAATTTCTTGCCTAGTTAACTTGGCCATTTGCTTACGACGTTTTAAAAATGGAAGAAACCATTTATTATCACTGATAGATACAAGGGTCAATATCAGCCACTGTTAAACAACCCTTTGGTCCAGACACCACGCCGGATGCCTTCTTTCTTCTTCATATTTAGTTTCCATGTGTAGTGGAGTTATTATACCCATTCTTCTAATGAGAAAAGAGGGTTATTCAAGGTTAAGTTACTTGCCTAAGATCACAGTGCTAAGTAGAAAGAGTCATGTTTGACTCCAAAATCACATGCATTCCCTTCAATGCATATCCTGTGTCTTTTGTTCTGGTTTAACCTCAGGGAGCAGAAAGCAAGAGACGTAGCTGGCAGAACTCTGACTCAGCAATTCACTCTGCCTTGGAACTCCCTCTGAGTTCCTAATAATCCCTGTTCGAGTGCGATGCAAAATACGATTTTTTGATCCAATCTAACTGCATGGTTATGAAGTCAGCGACACAACTACATTTTAAAACTTTTCTCTCTTAGGGATATCAATACTTGTTGTTTAACCTCCTAGCATTTTTGTAATGACGGATTCCATTGTGCGTTGCTAAGAGCTTTGGATTTTTCAGGAGGAAGAGCGCTTCACAAATGCAAATTATTATGAGTATCATTCCCTCTTCTGTTTCGGACTCTGCCCTTAGGCACGTCATGCCGCATCTCTTTGCTCCCAGTTCTCTATGTGTAGAGTGGAGATAATAGAGACTTCTTACCTAGGTTGGCACTTTAAAAAGAGAGGTAGATAATAAATGAATGTATGTACCTCAGAAGACCTAAATATTGTTATCTGATTCCATTGGGATTAATATCAGTTATATGCGATTGTAAGTTTCCTGGACACAAATCATAACCATTACACGCTGGACAATTCTGGGTGCACAGTTGGTACTTCGAAATATCGATAAGGCTAAAATACATACAGTTGAAACAATGCAGAAATCACAAACAGTATATTTAAAGGGTTCAGGTGCATCGCATGAACTTTTGTGCAAGAAAACATTAACAACAGAGCTGCGCAGCTTTTATAATTACAGTCTCCTGGGAAGCACTGTTACCATGCCCATTTTACAGAAGGAGTAACTGAGCCCCACGGTAGAGGGCTACAGACATCTTCCCAAGGCCACACGACCCCTTTGGAAATATCTGCCATTAATATTTCCCTGTGGCAGCCTGTGCCAAGTACTAGGAATATAGGGCAGGGCAGAAAAAGAAAGGACACAATCTCTGTCCTCAAGGAGTCCACACAGCCCCCTTAGGGATTTTGGTCTTTATGGTATGAATAACAGGAAGGAATTTTTATTAGAACAAAGAGAAAAATGCTCTTGAAATGAAAGCTTGCCCTTTGAGACAACACGGATGCAACTTGAGGGCATTTTGCTAAATAAGTCAGACAAAGACAAAAACCCTATGATCTCACTCATATGTGGCATTAAAAAAAAAAAAACCCAACAAGTTCATAGATAACAGAGAATAGATTGGTGGTTGCCAGAGGCAGGGGCGGGACGTTGTGAAATGGGTGAAGGGAATCAAAAGGTACAAACTTCCAGCTGGAAGATAAATAAGTCTGGGGATGCGATATATAGCATGGTGGCTACAGTTCATCATGCTCTATTGAGCATTTGGAAGCTGCTAAGAGAGTAGATTTTTTAAGTTCTTACCACAAGAAAAAACATCTTTTTGTAACTGTGTATGGTGATGGATCTTAACTAGATTTGCCACAGTGATCACATAGATACTGAATCATTATGTCTGAAACTAATATGATGTCATATGTTAATTATACCTCAATAAAAAAGGAGGCTCTTAAGTGTGTGTGTGTGTGTGTGTGTGTGTGTGTGTGTGTGTGTGTATAAAATGTGATCATACAATTTTATGTTCTAAAAAAGATGGCTATGGCTGTGTTATCTACTATGGAATGGAGGGAAACCTACTGGGTGCAGAAAGGCAAGTGAAGGAGGCTTAATTTTTTTTTTTATTTTAGAGAGAGAGAAAGAGAGAGCGAGAGGATGAGCAGAACAGAGGGGCAGAGAGAGAGAGAGAATCTCAAGGAGCTCGATGCTCAGCATGGAGCCTGACGCAGGGCTTGCTGTGGGGCTCGATCCCATGACCCAGGGATCACACAACCTGAACCGAAATCAAGAGTCAGACGCTCAACGGACTGAGCTACCCAGGCGCCCCTGAAGGAAGCTTTTATATGCGAGACATGATTGCAACCCGGACCAGGGTGGAATACGTGTGGGTGGCAAGAAGCACACCATTCCAGAAGCTAGGTAGGCAGCAACAGGTAGAACACGCTCCCCAGGGGAAGGCAAGAAGGGCCCCAAAACCACTGTCATGACTTGATGACTTGACACTGGATACCCAGAGGAGGATTGAGTTGGCTGCGGGAGAGCAAAGCGGTACCTTGGACACGTGTCATTTTGAGATTGTGCAGGTGTGGAGCATCTGCCGGCGGACGGGCGTGAGCTGAGAGGGGAGGCTGGAGAGGAAGACTCATGAATCGCCTGTGCGTTGATGGTAACTGAAAGCCATGGCCTCATAGAATGGCTTTTTATCTGATTCCAGATAAGAGAGATAAGAGAGAGCCTGGGGGAGAACCAAGGAAAGGGACTCTGGTTCTCTTGGGGAAGGGACCACTTCATCTTCAACCCATCAGCTAACTCTTTAGCTCTTTAGCTCACCCCTTACCTTTGGTTCTTGATGAAAAGGAAATACATCAAAATGCTAACCTTAGTTATCTTTGAAAATGTAGGGTTTTTTTTTTTTTTTTTTAAGCCTGTCATTGAGCAGACGTAAAAGGAAGTAGTAAAATCAGAAGCCCGCATGGTAGGAAAGATCAGGAAGCGGCTGGTAGCTTCATTATGTTTCAATGTTTTCAGCACAGTTCATGTGTTATCAAATCTCTTTCACTAGCTGCTTTCCTCACGTGGGAGGTTTTAAAGAATTGGCTGCTTGTAATGTTCCCTATTCTAAAATATTTATGTTTAAAAGCAGAAAAAGCATCGAGATGATTATGGTCTTTAGCAGCAGGATGGCGTTGCCACGAGTGATGTGAAATGATGTAAACCACTCCTGGGAGGGCTGCTGTGTTTTAAACCTCACTTCAGCTTTTCCTCACCTCCGTCTGGTGATGAACAGCAGGTAAGGAGGTGACAGGAAACCCCTCACCCCACTTACTGTAGCCTGTGGGGAGACAGTAAATGTGTGCCCTTGGGATCGCAACTGCTTTTCACGAGCCTGTGGGAAATGTGCATTACCCTCATGGCACAGATGTGGAAATCGAGGCCTTGGGAAGCGTGGGGATCCCAGGCAGGGCAGGATTTAGCTGCCAGGATTCGAGTTTGAACCCAAATCTTCTGACCTGCTGTCCCGTGCCCTTCCCTGCTAGCTCCTTTTGTCCCTTGTGTTTATTACTCATTCATCCCTGACCTTTTTGCTTAAAGAGGATTTGAGGGGTGCCTGGGTGGCTCAGTCGGTTAAGTGTCTGACTTCGTTTGGTTCAAGGTCACGATCTCACGGCTCGAGTTCAAGCCCCACGTCCGGCTCTGTGCTGACAGCTCAGAGCCTGGAGCCTGCCCCGGATTCTGTGTCTCTGTTTCTCTCTGCCCGCGGACACGCGAGCCTCCGTCTCTCGAAAAAATAAATAAACATTAAAAAAAAAAAAGAATAAAAAAAAAAGAGGACTTGAAAGGGCTCCGAGATAAATGGCTGCCTTAAATTTCATGAACTAGAACTTCTTATTTTCTACCCCCCCTCCAAATCAGGAAAAAGGAGAAGGGATTCCCGTGGGCAGTGACCTCGCCAGCATCACCCTGTCCTCTGTCTGTGCCTCGTCCATCTGCTTTCCTCTACCTCCCGGTGGCTTCCTGCTGCCGGCACCCCAGATTGAGAGGCACCCCACTGCCAGGCACCTCTGGAGCATCCTCCATCCAATCTCATTCGATCGGATTGCGGGGTGGGGGGAGTCTTTCCTGACACACCCGGAGCAGCACCTGATGTTACTCTCAGCCCCTTTCTGGTTTTTGTTACTTTTAAAGGGCATTAAAAACCCATGCATATGTACTTTGTTGCTGCAGAGAAGGTAGCTAGGAACCGGGCAACCCAGGATGTACGTCACCCACAGTCCGAGTGTATCTATCTCTCGTTCTTTCTTTGCCACACGTCCCTTCGATAAACGATCGGCATTTCCTTCTTAAAACACCTTAGAAGTAACTTCTTCCATTATGTTTTTTGTACGGTGAGTATTGGCCCCCTTGCTTTGCAGGTGGGGGGAAATAAGAGAGAGTTCATGCAAGGCGCTATGCGGCAGAACATCTGCCGAGAATAAAATACACAGCCCGTGGCTTTTCCTTTCATAATCTCAGACAGGAGAGAAGGCTTCGTGGGAGCTTGCGCAACATGTGTGACAATGGATCAATGGCCACAAAAGTCCCGCCAGCCTAAGCGGCAGCTCCTAAAGCGGTGGTTCACAAAAACACATTCCTTCTGTGGTCAACGGGGGAGCGACGAAAAAGAGTTCCACGTTCATCTCTTTGAGTTTAGGAAATTCTGGACTCACTGAAGTTAAATAGGTCTCCCTCCTACAGAATTTCCCGGAGTCTCTAGCATGAAGATATGCATGGAGAGCCTGCCTGAGGGGTTCCACAGAATTCTGGGTCTCTCTCCAGGGTACCTTCCCCCGACCCTACCCCAGTATCCTCTTGGCGTCTCCCGGATGTTCTGTGCAACACAGTTTACTTATTTATTATTTTTAATATGAAATTTATCGTCAGATTGGTTTCCATACAACACCCAGTGCTCATCCCAACGGGTGCCCTCCTCGATACCCATCACCAACCCTCCCCTCCTTCCGACCCCCCATCAACCCTCAGTTTGTTCCCAGTTTCTAAGAGTTTCGTATGGTTTGGCTCCCTCCCTCTCTAATTTTTTTTTTGTTTGTTTGTTCTTCCTTCCCTTCCCCCATGGTCTTGTGCAACACAGTTTCGAAGAATATTCATGGACACTCCTCTTCTCAAAATCAATGGTTTGTTATCATCACGAGTACGTAAAATGGGTATTTAAACAACGCTTCACCTTGGGGAGAGATGACTACGTTTTGAGGTAGCCTCGCACGACGAGCTTGACTTGATTCCATCAGGTAAGGCAGAATGCACCCGGGGAGGGGCGCATTCACCACCACTCCTGTCCCCAGGACCCCCTGCAACAATTCTTCCAGGGTGTGTGGATGGGAAGGAAGGAACTAAGGGGAGTGGGCCAAGTAAGTAGAAGCCACGCCTTCAGATGTGCTTGAGAACACCTGAGCAGGTGTTTCTTGGGTATTACCCATGCAGCTGGGGAACAAGGCCATCGGTCATTCGGTGAATAAGGCCATCGCTATTTGCGACATCAAATCAAGAAGTCTCCAACCAACAGAGCATCAGCCAAAGCGGTGGGCGTTTATGAGGCGGCGATCCAACTTCTGGGACCCGGAGGACAGCTGCCGTATTTTGGTGCGCATCCATCGAGACCAACTGGTCTATTGTTTTTTGTTTTTTGTTTTTTGTTTTTTTTTTTTTTTCAACGTTTATTTATTTTTGGGACAGAGAGAGACAGAGCATGAACGGGGGAGGGGCAGAGAGAGAGGGAGACACAGAATCGGAAACAGGCTCCAGGCTCTGAGCCATCAGCCCAGAGCCCGACGCGGGGCTCGAACTCACGGACCGCGAGATCGTGACCTGGTTGAAGTCGGACGCTCAACCGACTGCGCCACCCAGGCGCCCCTGGTCTATTGTTTTTTTAAAGGAAGCTCAAAGTCAGACCTCAGCGGGACCAGCCAACTGCTCTCCCCCGTTCCACATTGATCTCCAAATGCCTGGCTCACAAGCCTTCCATGGTGGAAACTGGAAACTCCTGTCATGCTTAGCATTGCATTTAAGAGTTTCTCAAGCTTGTGCACATGTGCCCTGAGCAGGGGGTGTGTGCAAGGTCACAGGACAAACATCTACCCATTTTATTTGTAGATTAAAAACATTATTTTTATATTTTATGATTATACTAACATGTGACCTAGAATGAAAAGCTCATGAGGTTTCCCCTTTTTTAAAAATATTTATTATTTTATTTTATTTTATTTTTTTGAGAGAGAGAGGGAGCCAGTGAGCAGGGGAGGGGAAGATTGAGAGGGAGAGAGAGAATCCCAAGCAGGCGCTATGCCCATCGTGAGATTGTGACCTGAGCGGAAATCAAGAGTCGGATGCTTAACCAACTGAGCCACCCCAGGTGCCCCTCAGTATTAAATATGAGCGCTTGGTGAAATTCTGTGGTTCTTTTGTGGGCTTTCTCTCTGAAATGGGAATGGGGTAAAGAGTTGGGTATCATCTACTACTCGGAGCTCTTGGATGAAAAATGTTGGTATTTTTATATCTAGCCCAACACTCATTTTGTAACTGAAGAAACCGAGACCCAGAAAGATCAAATATGTCCTAATCCCACGCCTGGCAGGCAATGTTAGCTGCCTACCCAATATTCATTCCGTTCCTCTAATGGCCCCTCCCCCCCTCCCATCACCCTCCCCCCCCTTTTCAAACTACATAAATCCTAGTTATATTCTGGGCAGTAGCTAAAAATACTTGTTTTCTCAGAATTCCTTGTTGTTAGGAACAGCCATTCAATACAGTTCTGTCCAGTGGCCCAGCCCCGGATCCCTTGCTTCCCATGGGTTTCTGGATTTTCTTATACCTAGAGAGATGCGAGGAAGCTCTGTACTCTCCCCCTGGGGGCCACCTTTTTATTTCTTTCTATTACTCTGAGCTGTGAATATTTTTAACCCTATCAATATGGCCAGCTCTTCTGACACAGAGACAGTGTTAGAATTGTCAACCATCAGTCCCCATCCCCGTGGGATGATTCTTCACAGGTGGTTTCCAGACTTAGGCTCTGATGAGCCAAATAAAAATGTTTTGTTTGGTTAAAAAGATTTTTTTTTGAGAGTTTCTAAAAAGATTTATTTTCCTGATTCTGGCGTCTCCTTCCTTTTTTGTTCTTCCTTCATGTTTCTGGCCAAAAACATGGGTGTGAGGTCTGGAGGTGCTGCAGCCATGTTGTGCTAAGAGGCAACAAGCTTAAGGGTGAATTATCAACATGCTGGGGATGGCGAAAGAGGAAGTTAGGATGACACTTGGTCTCCAAAGATTTGTTGAGCAGGTGCTCCAACCTGGACTGCCCAGGCTCAGACTCTGATGTGTGAGCACCATCAGCACTCGTTTTTGAGTTTTTGAAGGCCCTTTAATTAGGTTTCCATTAGAAGCAAGTGAATTTCCGACCAATATGCCCAGCCAGCTTGTTTAGACCCGTAGGATTTCGGTGTCTTAAAAAAGGTATCTAGCCGTGTAAACATACAGGAATTTGTTTAGAAAAGTTTCCGGTTTGTAAGACGTTCAAAGAATTAGTGGCATGGGCCAATCCTGGTACGGATTCCTAAACGACAGACCCTTTAATTCATAGGCGTTATAATCGTGATTCAGTATTGCTTCCCAGAAAATTATTAGCAATTTTGAGAGGCTGTGATGTCTGCGTGGCCTCCTAAATTGCATCCATTCTACCATCTAGCCTCAGCCACGAGAAATTCCAGAGAAACTGAAGGGGTACCATTCACACAGCTGAGGTCCCTGGGGTAGGGGAGGAGGCGGCTATGACGGAGAGTAAATCCCTACTCCCCTGCAGACAGAAGGCCGAGTGGAAGTCCTCTGGTTTGACGCAAAGGGCTAGTCACCATCCAGTATGAGGGTCCCGCCTCTTCCCTCCCAGACAAATAGCCAGGGGAGATCTTGGTAAAAGGTAGCCATCCCAGGGAGGCCAAAGGAGAGCAGAAGGAGAGGGGCCCTTCCCACCGGTCGGTCTATGGGACTCTGCAACATAATTGCAGCCTGCGGCAACATCCGGAGGTCATGGCCTTAAAGAAACAGGATCATGCGTCAGGGCAGGGAGAGCTAGGGAGCATGCTCCTTTGTGGGTGGAAGGAAACTGAATGTTGAGAGCCAGGGGGAGCCTGCCGAACAGCTGTAGTGGCAAGGTATGAGGTGACCCCGTAGCAGAGACTGTGGGTGGTGGCCTGAGCCGGGGCTCACCCGGGTATATGGCTGAGGGGGTCGAAATGGGGGTAGGTGAGTGAGAGGGACCCGCCGGGTGCAAACTGCGTGAGGGGCTGGCCCCGGCCTCTCCCCTGCAGACCTGAGCAGCTAGCGGGATGCCCAGGGACGGAGCCCGAGGAATGTTCCCGAGGAGGCCTCGGTTCATACCTGCGGGTCCGAGGCCGGTCCTCACCGAGTTTTCACTCCTGACGCACAGCCTTTGATAATCAGGGACTCTGGTGCCAAAAATAAAATGGAAAGATAAGGAGGCAGGCAGGGAGCGTGAGATTCCTTTCCCCAGCAGTAGGGCAGAGAGGGAAGCCTGATTCCAAATGGCGGACCCAGAAGAGACCAACCCCAGAGGCTCACGGTGGGAGAGCATGGCTGGAACTCTCTGGCCCGGCCCTCTCTTTTCCAACCATACAAAAGTCAGTCCTGTGCTCACTGAAGGGCCTGGAGGGTCAAGGGTCAGGGTATCCTGCGCCCTGCTGGGCTTCGAGGGTCTTAATCTGTCTTGGGCAGGCAGAGGTGGGAGAGGAGGGAGCCAGGGGTTCCACGGCTGGTTGGGAGCCTCTGCCGGGCTCCTCCTCTCTTTGCATTTCGTTTTCAACACATGCTCACAGCCGGAGCTTCTGTGGTCCCAGCCCCAAGCCCCGCGTCACCATGGCAACAATCCTTACCTCCTGTCACTTGCGGCGTATTTTTTTTCAAAGGGCCCCTGTGCCTTATTTATCCGCTTCATCTATTGTGTACCGTCTCCTTCCTGCGTGCCCCAGCTTTGTGCCTCTCACACCTCCGTTCCGATTCCGATTCTAGCACCTTCCTGTTGCCTGTACAAGGGGCCCACACCCGTCCCGGTAAAAACGAAAGACACAGGACAAAAGCCAGGCGCTGACGGAGTTCAGGGCCCGCCCGCCTGGGAAGGAGGGGAAGGCGGGGCCGTGGAGGAGCACCGAGCAGGATGTGGCCTGGTCGGGGTCACCCCGGAGCAGAGCAGGTGGGGGGACCCTTTAGAAGGCCACCAACACCCGCTCCAGCTCACAGAAGAGGCGGGCTGGCTCGCGCCCCCCCGCGTGTGACCGTTGCATCGGGTGGCTCAGCAGTTAGGACTGCGTTTGGTGACAGCTGACGGAAGACTCAAATGGACTGTGAACCTTCTCAAATGGAAGTTGATTCTCCTCTCATGGAGGTTCCGGGGCGGATGGGGCCAGGCCGCTGTGGGGCACCGACCTCAGGGCCGAGGCACCTCCCGCCTTCAGCGCCGCGCCTCCCACTGTGGGCGCCCATTCTTCAGGTCACCTCGTGGCCCAGGTGGGCTGCTGGACCGCCGGCGCTCTCACGCACCTTCCGGGGAGAAGGGAGAGGGAGTCAGAGCAAAGGAGTTCTGCTCCGTGGTCTGTCTCTCTTTCGAGGAACCTCCCCAGGTGTCCTTCTCAACACAATTCTATTTATGTCTCGGCTCCAAGAGCTTAGTCCCTCGGCCCTAGCACACCATGGCGCTTGTGGTCTGAGGGAGCCCTGGTGGTCTCGTCCTCGCGGATCTGACGAGGTGGGGGTTTGCAGGGGACAGTCATTCCTCTCTGCGCCGATGGGGAAGGCGGGGAGGAGGCATTTCCAAAGACCTTCTACTTTACGTGCTTCTGAGGCTTGTCCTCCCAGCAATGGGCGTCTCGACGTTTCCACCTGGAATTGGGGAGGCTGTGGAAACCACAGATCTGCTGGTGAGGAGCCCTGGGGGCGGGGAGGGGGGAGACTGGCCACTGTGGATGGTCTCCTCTGCAAAGAACCTAAATGCTGTCAGTGTCTATCAGCTTACCTGTCCTTCCTGGGCAGCAGGGACCCAGGCGTGCGGCAGGAGAGCGGTGACCTGAATGAAGAATAAACACCCTCCACGCACAGGACCAGCATCCGAAAGCCGTTGGTGCACTTCTGTTTGTTGCCGGCCAGACAGCAAATCAAAGGGTCCAGACCTGCCTGAATGTGCTAGAATTCTACGTGTCCCTTCTGGGGGCCCCTCCTGCCTGGACACAGGCACTCAGAGCCCAGGAAGGAAGCCGCGACCTCGCGGTTGAGGTTGGTGCGTGAGGCACGAATGAAAAACAGTCCCGAGAGCTGATGGACTCTGCCCGAATCTTCCATTCGGCCGAAAGGAAGTGCCCGCGACTTCAGTTTGACCTGGAGGGGACTTGAAGATCCTACGGTCCACACTTTTCATCTTCAGTTAAGAAGCAGGCTGGATCAGGGGCGGCGGGCCCGGAACTGCCAGCCCCCCGCCCTCCCTTGCTCGTCGATGGCTCGTCGATTGTGCGTCTCTGGGACCAGACTCCGGCTGGTTTTTGTTCTCGGCCCCTGCCAGGAGGCTGACTCGTGCCTTGCCGCTTCCCTTGAGCCCTGGCTCCATTATCAGCAGCTC